AAAATGTTTTTATCATAAAATTGTTTATCGGTAACAATTGCTTGAAATGCTTGAGTGTTAGGAAGATTTGGGTCGCCAGCGATTGCCCAATAAGATGAATCAGTATCACCTTCAATGAAATGAAAACGATTAAGATTCATGCATTTATACATAAAATCATAAATGAAAACCAAATACCAGTATTTAGCATTATCTAAAGTGAAGAATGCCTCTTGTAAACATGTATCACATCTATAAAATCTATCTTTAAGCATCACTTGATATGTATCTTCACCTATTTCTCTTATGTTTTTAAACTTATTTGACATGCAACGCGTGCCTTCTGTGCATTCATTATTTTAGTCTTTGCGTAATTTTGTGTATTCATTGCATCGTAACCATATGATCCATTAAGTGAAATCTTGCAAAATAAACTTTTTCCTTTATTTCCTTCTAATTCAGCCTTTTGTCTTTCGTTCATAAATTGTTCGCAAATTCATTAAAACAAGTGTTTTTCGTAAATGTTAAAATTGATTGAATATCATCGATGATAAAATGAAATCTGTCTATTAGATACCAAAGATAATAAGAAGAAAATGGTTGATATTGGTTGTGTGTTGATGCTAACTGAGTTAATTTCCTCTGTTTCTGGTCAACTGGTAATTGTTTGATTTCATGTAATTATACATAAAACTGCCAATTGTTTTTTCATCTGTGATAATATCTAAGTTTCTTATTATCGGTAAAAAGTTTATGTAATCATTAATGTATTTTTCATCAATGTGACCCTTTACTTCAGCCACGAATAAAGTATTTTTCTTCTTAATTATTCCCATGCTTTTGCTTTCTTTGTTGCTGTATCACAAATGATAACACCATTCAATCTTCCCGGCATATACATTTTATGGTCAGTATATTGAATGAAATCATGAGGATTAGATGAAAATGATGAAGGATATAATGAATTAAATCAACACCAACGAAATGAGTCATAATGTTGGTGGTGTCCTCATTTGATACAGTTTTAGTTTCTGGATTATATGAAAGTTTATTAATGTGCGTGATTCCTTTAAGATTTACTCTATGTTGAACATTTGATAAACCACCAGTAATTCCATTACGGAGAATGTGATAAGCTTCAACTGAATCTAAAGTCATTGGTAAATTATTTTTTAATGCATAATTTCTTAAATTGATTCTTAAACGTTGAACATCTTCATCTTTATTTGATTTTACGACATTGCAATAACAACACATTAACTGACAATTTTCTTTGGTATGTGGTTTTTCATTATCGATTCTATCCAATGTTGGTTTATTTGCATATGTAAACGCTTTACCACACATTTTGCATTTAGATGAAAGGATTAAATCGTGATAGTATTGAAAATCATCCATTGAAACATTATTTTTAGTATCCCTTTCTGCTTTTTCATCTTGTTTCTTATATGATTCAATTTTATATTTCCAATACTTTTTCGTTAATTCAAAACTTGATTCTATCTCTTCCTCAGGATATTTTTCATTAGGATTAAAGTCTTTATATGCTAAAGCGTAACGAATCATTGAAGCATTCGATGATAAAGAAAGATTATGAAGCATGTCAATTTTATAAACAAATGTTTCTTCAATAATTTTATCGATTGGGTCAATCATAATTTCAACATCTTTATTGCAATAATGAATAAAATATTCTAATCTATTCTTAAAATTTTTAGCATCATTGAGATATATTTGATAATCACTATCTGATATAGTTTCTTGGTTAATGCTGAATAAAATGAATCTTGAGTGAATGGTTCCTCTTTATATAATTCTTCTTCGTAATTTTCCCATGTGATGAATTGATAAGGGAAAAAGGATTTAACACGTGATTTATTGTTTCCGAAATCTTGAGTGAATTGGTCTAATGTCCCACCCGCTATATAATTTCTGATGTCAATAAATCTCAATTCATATGGAACGTTTGTTTTCTTTACAATGATTTGCTTAAATTGTGAAGATGAACCCAGCATTGATTTTATTTTCCATTTTGCAGTGTTTAAATCACGAAGAATTAAATTTAAATCAAACTTTCCCGAATTAAAACCTATGATATTCACTTTATTGAATTCCTCATCTAGAAGTTCTTTAAATGCTTCCTTCTGTTTTTCATTTAATGTATGAGACAAAGTCCCGCCGTTTGGTCCGTTTGCGACTTCATTAATTCTTCATATTGTTCAATATTTGATTTAGCAACTAATGAACAGGTTGAAAATAAAAACTCAATCCAATCAGAAATAAAAGAATCACTCGAAGTTAAGCAAAAATTCCTCGTATATGTTTTATCATTTAATTTAACCGTTGATGATACCATGAATGGTTTTAAGTAAGCGTTCAAAGTTGCACACTCAGAAAGTTGTAATTCTTCTTTAGTCTCTAATGTTTCGAAGTCAAAAGTAATATAATATCTTGTCGGTTGATAATATTCCTGCAAATTGTGAGCTAATAACCACTGATATATCTTCTGTTTCGTAATATGTGGTGCATATGGTTGCTGTGTCTTTTGCAATTGAACGTCTTGAATTAATCTTCCATTATTTTCTTTACATTTCTCACAATGCTTTAAAAATCTTCTTTGGTTTTTCCTTTCTGGATCATCACGGATAGAATAAACTTCTTCTTTACAATATGGACAAACTCTATAGCCGGTGAGTGCTTCAACGTCTGTTATTCTGTCAGCGTGAAGTTTTCCACATGGACTCTGTTAATAAAATATTTACTGTTTCAAATTCTGGATCTATCATTATTGATTCCACTAATGGAAAGTCTACCTTATTTATGTCCACGTCTTCTGGTTGAGGATCACAATAATAGAAATCAATATTAACATTTAACATTCTCGCTAATCTCTCACTTTCTGATGAAATGTCAAACCCTTCATATGCATCTATTGCTTCATTTAAATAGCTTCTACGAGTTTTAGGATTAACACCATCAGGAATGTTATAGAAGCGTTTAAATAACCTTCTACCTTCTGCTCTAATTTGATTATCATTCATTTTAGCTGTTCCGTTTTTGTTCATTTATGTAAGAATAAAAAATTAAAAAATAAATAAAAATAAAGTTTATTTTTTAAAGCCCATAAAATGAATTAAGAACACATAAATTTTTATCATCTGCGACGTGACGAATACATTTTAATTTACTCAAGAATGCGTACCCTGATACATTAAATCTAATTCCTGTCTTATTTAATTTCACAACTTTGAAAAGGAATGTATGAATAGCTATAAAATGATGAGAAGATGTTTTATGGGTTGCTTCCATTTTTTCTGAAATAAATGAATAAATATAATGCTTATACGTTTTCATATCTTTTATATTCTTAATAACGAATGGTATAGACCTTTCCACTTCGTCTTCCTTCGGTGCTGTTCTTTCATATGAAACATTATTGGTATCTTCAACAATGAAACCACAATCACACAAAATTTTATGTTCCAATGGTTTCTTTTGATATTTTATCTAATAAATCAAAAACTTTATCAACACCTGTGCATTTATTTAAATAATAATTTGTGTAAATATCATGATCTTCTTTCTTAATCGTATTAGTTGCATATGTCACATTTTTAAGAGCTTTTTTGAATTTCTCAGAATCGAGAGGTGAAAGTAAGATACAAGGGTATTTTTCATTATCAATAAATTGTAACTTATGTTTACGTATAAATTTAGTACCTTCTTCTGAAAGTGTTTCATCTATTTCGCCATCTAATAAATTTTGTGTTGATTCTGAGACATAATTTTTATATCTTTCTTCATGAGATTTCTGTACTTCTGATTCTGAAGCTGGGATATTCATTAAACCCTCTACTTCATTTTCATTATATTTTTCAACTTCTCTTAATTCCTTAATTTTTTCAGCTATTTCATCTCTTATTTTTTCCAGTTTTTCAATTTCATCGTATTTATCATCATCTTTAATCCGTTCTTCATAATATTCAGGGAAAACATCAGGTTCTTTGGGTTTTTCTTCTTCAGATGTGGGATATAAGAAATTTATAACATCATCTTTATTCATTTTTCCATCATAATCTAAATCATTTAATAACTCGGCAAATTTTTGACAATTTCTTAAATAATATTTACTAACTTCATAACACATCTCATCTAATATATCCTTTATTTCCTCGTTTGTGAATCCTAATTTTTTAACGTTGTTAGTTTTGACGCTCATTTCATACGAATTAAAAATAAATTATTCAAAAATGTAAGACATAATTTTTAAAGTTTATTTTTAAAAAATTTTTTTATTTTTTTATTTTTTTATTTCATTATGGTAGTGAATCTTTCATTCATGAAAATAATTATATCTAATTTCTTTTATTCTCTCGTACATACTAGATTTAAAGAATTCAGAACTTTTACCATAATCTCCTAAATGTTTTCTTATCCCTAACGTGTGCCAGTTATTATATGAAACTGAATAAACTTTATCTTTATCTTTACACCTTTCATCACTTCCAATATATTTATACCTCATTAGCGTTTAATAATTCACAGTCTTCCTTTTTAAATTGAAGTTTAACCCATTCAGGATTTAAACAATGTTTAATTAATCGCGGAATATCTGACATCATCTATATATAGCTTCTTTTATAAAAGATAAAAAATAAATTATTTTAAAATTAATGTTAATTTTTTAATGCGTTTATTTCATTATGTATGGGCTGAGTGTAAATGTCTTACAATTTTGAAAATTTTTTAAATCTTGATTTATTCAAAAACGTAAGAATAAAAACCGTAAGAATCATACATTTTTTACTTCATATGTTAAAAAATGATACAAAATCGCTCGATATTGCATGAATTCTTACGTTTACAAAAAAAGTCACACAACCCTTCCTATCCTACTACTTTGAAACAACTGCTTACGATATAACTTTAATGATATAAAAATCAATTCCAATGAATGACAGTTCTAAATTTAGATTTAAAAATGATGAAATATATAGATTTTAAATTGTCACTTTTATTGAATGGAGAATCAGCGTAAATATAAGATTTGCCTTTTTGGAGATTCCGGTGTAGGTAAGACAGCCATAGTTAAGAAATGGCTTCATCTCTCTTATACATCTGAGCAGGCACAACCTACTTTGGGGGCAGGATGTTCAGAAACTGACATTTTTATTGATGGCCAGCAAAGGCATATCCAAGTTTGGGATACTGCTGGTGAAGAAAAGTATAGATCTATGGTTCCAATTTATATCAGAGGCGCGGTTGGCATTTTATTAGTTTTTAGTTTAACTGATAGATCTTCTTTTGAATCTGTTCCTGAATGGATTAAAGCTGCTGACACAGATTCAAGACCTACGATTCTTTTAGTCGGAAATAAAAGTGATCTTACCGCTCAAAGAGCTGTTGATTATAACGAAATTATAGAATTTGCGGCCCAAAGAAATATTGATTACATTGAAACTAGTGCTCATACAGGAGCAAATATTGATGATGCTTTTATTGCCCTTCTATCACAGGTAATTCCAAAAGTTACTGAGCCGGCTCAGCAAACTACTACTGTTCTTACTGAAACCAAGGGCGGAGGTTTTTGTGATATGGAAAATGTTCGTTGCTCAATTATCTCACTATTGGATGGACTTTTATCGAGCGAAATTTTGGCTGTAAAGACAATTCTGATATTGGTAACATGGTGATAAGAACAAATAGTCAGTTTGCATGGTTTATGATGAGATAATTTCGATTTAAAAAAAAACATAAAAATTGATTTTAATGAGCGATTATATTTGAATATGCTCTCCTAATTTGAAGGAACTGGTTAAATCATGAATTGATCATGAATAATTTTTTTTCAAAATAACAATTATAATTTCATATTCATTATAAGTTGAAAATATATCATAAAGACTTTATGAATGATAAATTCCTAAAAAACAAGTTAGTTTGTTTCTGAAAATAATAATAATAAAAACCAATTTAGACCCAATAATTTTTGGCGGGATAATTGAGATGTTTAACAAAAACTGAAAGGTGTCATTATTATCTATGACCAACAAGCAACTGACCTAGTCTGGATTACAATATTCGGTTCATCAAACCGCCAATTTGATGAATCAAGCCAAATTGTAACTGACCTAGTCTGGATTACAATATTCGGTTCACCAAACCGCCAATTTGATGAATCAAGCCAAATTGTAACAAACCAGTTGTTGATTGCATGGTATCATTCATCGAACTGCCAATTTGATGAATTACATTTCTTAGTCATCAAAATAGTGGTCATGTTACTATTCGTTAGGTTAAATTACTTTTAATGCCCATTCAAGGAAGTACATGTCAGTTACAGGGTTTATAGTTTTACTCGAATTGAGTAAACCTCTTGGAAGCAATTACCACAAGAGCCAAGACTTCTCGTTTACAGACTTTGAAAGCCAGGAAGGAGCCAGGTAACAATAATGGGCTCTCTTATGATATTTTGGGATATTTATCAACAATTTGAGTTTCTACCTATTGTCTTCAATGAGGATTTTTTAGGCCAGAAGTACAATACCTGTACAGTCTAACTACTAGGGCAATGTAGTCAAACTGTGCACGTATTGAACTTCTAAGGCTATTATTTATCTGCTATTGACTCGGAAAAACTTTGCCTTAAACTACTGCATTAATGTTTCCTAGTATTCAAAGAGCTATGAATTCTATAGTTGATCTTATAAGGTAGAGTTTTTCCTAACTTTCTCATTCGTTGAAAGGTTTTCAACAAAGCTATACCTTAAAAATCTGTGCTTGTTATATCTGATCATTTGTGTGTTAGGGGAGGTAAATTTATTCCACTAGAGCAAATTTTTTCCGAAGTTTCTCATTCGATGAGAAACCTCGGAACAACTCTTCAATAGTGTAATGAATTTATGGTATTTGTCCTGCAAACAGCGAGAGAACTTGTCTGTAATTCGTTTATGATGAAGTTATCTGGATGTCTCTCAGATGAGGAAGGAAGTCCAGAAAACTTCACCATAAGTTAATACTTGTGTATTTCTATGACTCTCTTCACGTCAGAGAATGTAAATTTACTCGAATAGGGCAAAGTTCTGCTCAAGTTTCTCATTTGATGAGAAACCTCGGAAGAACTTTGCCCTAAGGTAATGTATATGTGATTGTTGGCCCGCAGAGAAACAAGGAATCTGTTTGTATTTCGTTTATGGTGAAGTTCTCGGATGTTCTCTCAAATTATATGGAAAATCAAGAGAACTTCACCATAATTTGTTGTAGTTGTGATTCTCTGGCTCTTTGCCGGCCAGAAAACTAGAAAATAGTTTATAGTGGGAGTATGCTCGATGAATACCTACTCACTAAAAATATACGTTATTTTTTGTTTTCCTATGGGAAAATAGTTTTGATTTTTATACTATCGTATGCTTTGTTATTGCATGAATTGTCTATTTTCTTAATAAAAACTCATTTTTCCGTGTGATTCTGAATCAATGCATTCCAAAAAAGCGTTTTCCGCCTTTGAAACGTGAAAACACACATTGCATGAAGAATCAGAGAAGATTTTCTAACTCGAAGAATTCCAAAAAAAACCAATTATAGTTTTTTATCGTGAAAACACACATTGCATGAAGAATCAGAGAAGATTTTCTAACTCGAATGATCAGATATAACAAGCACAGATTTTTAAGGTATAGCTTTGTTGAAAACCATTCAAATAAAGAGAAATTTAAGGAGAAATTTGCCCGTTTGATGTATGGTGAGAAGCATATTTGAGAGTTTGGAGAGGCAAAGTGCAATCACCTATCAATATTGCACTTTGCCTGTCAAAAGTTCCTCGCATCTCTTGAGGTGTGAGGAAGTTTCTCGACAGAGGAAACTTTCATATCGAATGTTGCCTCTGTCGAGATGTATGTGACAGGCAAAGTGCAATCACCTATCAATATTGCACTTTGCCTGTCAAAAGTTCCTCGCATCTCTTGAGGTGTGAGGAAGTTTCTCGACAGAGGAAACTTTCATATCGAATGTTGCCTCTGTCGAGATGTATGTGACAGGCAAAGTGCAATCACCTATCAATATTGCACTTTGCCTGTCAAAAGTTCCTCGCATCTCTTGAGGTGTGAGGAAGTTTCTCGACAGAGGAAACTTTCATATCGAATGTTGCCTCTGTCGAGATGTATGTGACAGGCAAAGTGCAATCACCTATCAATATTGCACTTTGCCTGTCAAAAGTTCCTCGCATCTCTTGAGGTGTGAGGAAGTTTCTCGACAGAGGAAACTTTCATATCGAATGTTGCCTCTGTCGAGATGTATGTGACAGGCAAAGTGCAATCACCTATCAATATTGCACTTTGCCTGTCAAAAGTTCCTCGCATCTCTTGAGGTGTGAGGAAGTTTCTCGACAGAGGAAACTTTCATATCGAATGTTGCCTCTGTCGAGATGTATGTGACAGGCAAAGTGCAATCACCTATCAATATTGCACTTTGCCTGTCAAAAGTTCCTCGCATCTCTTGAGGTGTGAGGAAGTTTCTCGACAGAGGAAACTTTCATATCGAATGTTGCCTCTGTCGAGATGTATGTGACAGGCAAAGTGCAATCACCTATCAATATTGCACTTTGCCTGTCAAAAGTTCCTCGCATCTCTTGAGGTGTGAGGAAGTTTCTCGACAGAGGAAACTTTCATATCGAATGTTGCCTCTGTCGAGATGTATGTGACAGGCAAAGTGCAATCACCTATCAATATTGCACTTTGCCTGTCAAAACTTCCTCACACCTCAAATTTTCTTTAGAACTACAATATCTTAACAATTAGCTCATCAAAACACAACCTATAAACTTTAATTTTTACTTTTGTTTTTTTCAATATATGAACTAATTTTTTTTTTCAAATTACTCCCACACTGGGAAAAGTATTTTAACTCAGATGTTGCCAACCTCTTCATCATTGCATTAACAAGTGCTTTGACTTAGAGGTTGCCAGCCTCTTCATCATTGCATTAACAAGTGCTTTGACTTAGAGGTTGCCAACCTCTTCATCATTGCATTAACAAGTGCTTTGACTTAGAGGTTGCCAGCCTCTTCATCATTGCATTAACAAGTGCTTTGACTCAGAGGTTGCCAGCCTCTTCATCATTGCATTAACAAGTGCTTTGACTCAGAGGTTGCCAGCCTCTTCATCATTGTAAAAATGTATTACCGCTTTTTTTTTAATTCAATCGTAACATCTCAATTATCCCGCCAAAAATTATTGGGTCTAAATTGGTTTTTATTATTATTATTTTCAGAAACAAACTAATTTTTTTAGGAATTTATCATTCATAAAGTCTTTATGATATATTTTCAACTTATAATGAATATGAAATTATAATTGTTATTTTGAAAAAAAATTATTCATGATCAATTCATGATTTAACCAGTTCCTTCAAATTAGGAGAGCATATTCAAATATAATCGCTCATTAAAATCAATTTTTATGTTTTTTTTTAAATCGAAATTATCTCATCATAAACCATGTAAACTGACTATTTGTTCTTATCACCATGTTACCAATATCAGAATTGTCTTTACAGCCAAAATTTCGCTCGATAAAAGTCCATCCAATAGTGAGATAATTGAGCAACGAACATTTTTCCATATCACAAAAAACCTCCCGATTTAATAAAAATTTGATGTCAGATTTGTAAATATCAGAAATTTATATAAATGAAGACAAAGGGTTTCTGGGAAACTGATGAATTGCCGGTAAAATGTCTTGGCTTTATGTCAGTTGTGTGTAACCACAAATCATCATATGTAGCGCTTGCTTTAACATTTTTACTACTTCTACCGTTCGCATTTACAATTTCAAAATTATGGCTTTCTGGCCGCTATTCATTCAATTCAAAATTCCATCCAGGTATCAGTTACAGTAGTTCTTTAATCATATTTGTGATCATGTTATATTACTATTACTATTGTTTCTTCGTTCGCCAACACGAACTTACCAATGATACATTTTCCAGATTGGTGGCTGTTGGCAGTGATTTTTATCTCATGTCACTTTCAACTTATTTTATAAGCATCTGCGAGATTTTAACAACAATGAGAATACGTTCAGCAAAGATCATTTATTATTTTTCGAAAATCCTTCAATATTACTTTGGCTTAGCAACAGTTGTAAAATCAATTATGGTTTATCTTCCACTATCTAATAAGGTCGCTATAGCTCTTTTCCGCGACGAGGGTTTTTATTACAAGAACATTATATTAATAGTCGAATATCTAATCAATGTGATTTCATTTTTGATTTTATCATGGTGTTTTCTTTTTTCGAACCTTAAGACATACCTTTCTGATAGAATGAAAACTGGCTTACACTTTTGTTTGTTTTTATTTGCTTTCAATTTTTTCATCGTCGTTAACATCAGAGTTTACGGTTATAGTCTATATGAAGGTCAATTCTTTTATTCAGATCCAGCAAAATACATGTATAGACTTACTTTTGTTACTTACACTCAAAGATTTCTCGTTGATTACGTGATAATTGTTATTATTCTTATTTTATCGGTCAATATGTATAACTATGGACTTGAAGAACTTTCTCATCAGATTTCCCCAGTAAATCTCGAAATAGCTGTTTAATTACGAAATATTCTTTTTGATTAAATGCGTGTACTATCTTTGTAAGTAAAAATACAGACTAAAATTATTATTTTTTTTACTGATTTACACCTTTTTATATTACTGAAAAAAAAATATTTCTGAAATTATGTAGTCACAGCATATTTCTATAAATCATATGTTTTTCCATGAACTTTACATCATAAATCTAAATGATCATTGCATAGTTATAAGAATTTTTTTTTCATATTGAACTAAAATTGGTAATTGTTCGGAAATGCATTTCTAAAGATAAGAGGTTTTCACAATAAGTTTTTAATATTATTAAAGATACAATCACTTTATTATATATTATTTGACTGATAGGGAAAAATACTAATAGAAGAGCTTATTCTTCAACTTGCATTATGAAGAAATCACTTGGATTTGAGACTTCTTCGCCTTCATCTCCAAACTCTGGCATATCAAAATGCCCGTCAATATTGATAACTGATTCTTCATAATTAACTGTAATATTATCAAGATATGATACTCCATCATTATTGTTGCTGTTGTCAACATTTTCAATAACTACTTCATCAGTTGAATCTTCATCTCTCTTCTTCCACAGGAAGAATATTATTCCTGATGTCAGAAGCAAAAATCCTGCAATACCTGCTACAACATATATCCACCAATTATTCTTTTTCTTTACCGGTTCTTTATCTTTTTGTTCTAATTTGCCTTGTGTTGGACTTGGAATATCTTCATTTTCTTTTGTCTCTGATGTCTTATTGTCATCTGTATCTGGTGTTTTATCATCTGTATCTGGTGTTTTGTCATCTGTATCTGGTGTTTTATCATCTGTATCTGGTTTTTTATCATCTGTATCTGGTTTTTTGTCATCTGTATCTGGTGTTTTGTCATCTGTATCTGGTGTTTTGTCATCTGTATCTGGTGTTTTATCATCTGTATCTGGTTTTTTATCATCTGTATCTGGTGTTTTGTCATCTGTATCTGGTTTTTTGTCATCTGTATCTGGTTTTTTGTCATCTGTATCTGGTGTTTTGTCATCTGTATCTGGCGTTTTGTCATCTGTATCTGGTTTTTTATCATCTGTATCTGGTGTTTTGTCATCTGTATCTGGTTTTTTATCATCTGTATCTGGTGTTTTGTCATCTGTGTCTGGTTTTTTGTCATCTTTTCCATCATGAGACTCATCTTCATCAGAAGGTTTATCAGGAACAGCTGTTTGTAGTGGTGTTACAAATGCTGTCATAAATGGGGTTTCGGCTGCTGTTAGATAAGGTGTTTCAAAAGATGTTAGGTATGGAGTTTCAACTGCAGTTATAAATGGAGTTTCGACTGCTGTGGCATCATAATAAACACAGTTATCAGTATAGTAATAGTCGCGATTGTTGTTAACTGATTCCGATACAGATTGTTCAATTTTTACAACACATGTTCGTTTTTCTGTTGCATCTAAGAAGCATCCTCTGAATGTGAAAACAGATGCTGGGAGATTTGAATATGCCAAATATTTAGCGTTGTTATCTCTGACATTACAATAATTAATATTTGTATTTTTGGCTCCTTTTTCAGCTCTGTCATTGAAATATGAGAAAATGCAGCCATTTGTGGAATCTGAGAAAGAATTTCGTAATATATTGATATTTTCAAGAGTTAAAATATATTGGTTTGATGTTTCATCATTATCTCTGCATATAATTCCGTACTCCTCTGAATTTACGTTGTTGTCAATATTCAAATATTTGGCAGAAGATCCTTGAAGATTAAGGTATCTGAACGTAAATCCAGCTCCATACTTCGCCTTATTCTGAGTTAAATTAACGTCATGCATTGTCAAAATGCCGTTTGTGACACAGATTGTGGAATCTGTTTTGAAATCTTGGCCTCTTCCAGCGCAGTGAAGAGCCGTTGTAGAATTTACAATACATCTGCATGGTTGAGACTGTTTAACATTCAAATTTGCAAAAGTTCCTTGATGCGTACTCTTGCATTTCTGTCCACAACATCTATCAAGTACGCACTCACCGCCATTTGTTGCAATGAGCATTGCTCCACCCCAACCATCAACTGAGCAATCATAAAAACTGCATTGGAAAACTAACGTTTTATAGGAATCGTGATCAATTCTCTTAATATTCAGAGCATTTAATTGATTCCCGTCGGCTGGATGAACTCTAATAAAAACACATTCAGAAATCAGAGTAGGGGTAATTTTAGCTAAAAGTGACACACCTGTAAAAAGTGACACACCCGTGAAGGGTGTGATTACCGATCGGTAATTTCGACAGTTTAGAATTTAAAATTTTTTATGGAACTGTTGCGAGTTTCATAAAGAATTTAAGGAATATAAGCAAAGATTTGAATCAAAATCTTAGACCTAAGCCGCTCGATTCGCTCGCGGCTTCCGCGAATTACAGATCAGCAAAGATTTGAATCAAAATCTTCGAACTAAGCCGATCGCTTCGCTCGCGGCTTTCTTTATTATTTTAAATTTGCATATTTCCATCAAAAGTTTATAAGGTAAAAAATTTCGTTTATATTATTGCAAAATAAAATCTTCATTATCAAAATAATATTAAATGATAATATAATATAATTTATAAACAACTATTATTTAATAAAGTTTAATTGCCAAGGTTCATCTAATTTTTTGATTTTTAATGTTTTATGAATTTTATTTATCATGTATATATCTAATGAAGATTATATATGTAGAAGATAAGTACCTTAATATGTACGTAAAAATTAATGAAATTTATTTTGAATGTAGAACCGAGCAATTTTCAAATTTTGTGCTTTTTTTGAATTTTCTCGATACCAGATAAGTTGTGTTGGATAAATAATATATGGATACAATGTGTCTTATAGATGAATATATGCACAAAGTTTAAGAGGCCATTTTCTTTCAGAAACCGAGATTTGTGAATTTTTTCAAATTTTGTGCTTTTTTTGAATTTTCTCGATACCAGATAAGTTGTGTTGGATAAATAATATATGGATACAATGTGTCTTATAGATGAATATATGCACAAAGTTTAAGAGGCCATTTTCTTTCAGAAACCGAGATTTGTGAATTTTTTCAAATTTTGTGCTTTTTTTGATATTGAAATTTCATTTCATTTTTTTGATGCATATCGATGCACCATGCGAACTTAAAGAAAGGCTATCTTATATAGATGCTATGACAGCTGTCATTGATAACGAATGCCATGCAGGTTGTCCATATCAATTAAAAAAAATCCAAATTTAGGGGGAACAAAATTAAAATTCAGGTGCAGTGCAGATAAATGTGAAGCATGTATCTCATTTCTAAAGGATGATGAAGAATATATCCTAACAGAATATAATGGAACACATAATCACAATCAAATCAAAGATGAGACAAAGAAATACCACACATTATCACAATGCTATCGTCGGGTACTTATTAATTTTATAAAACAGGGGGTGATCCGAAAATGGCTCAAATTGAATGCGACAAAAAACTTGATCTGGATGATCCACTTAACAGGCCATCTTTTTTGAATGCATCTTCAGATCAAATGAAAACAATTCAGGAAAAAGGAAATAAAAAGATCAAAGGTATTCAAAAGTACGATGATAATCAATTCAAGTCAACTCAATTATTTAAGGGTATCAAAGAACAAGAGTCACCAAAAGATTTAATTTATTTCGATGTCGATAATTACAACAAACCAAAGAAATTAATCTTTTATTATGCTTCTTTCAAATTTCTGGACATAATCAAAATTGTGAAAGAGCATTTTATTGATGCAACCCATTCATTACTTGAATTTAAAATGTTGTTTTACATGATATCAGCCAAATTTCCAAATACACATGCATTCCCAATTTTTCAATTTGTCGTTTATCCAAACACTTCAGAAAATATTGCATTCTGTCTCAAGGCATTTTTTAACTGGGCAAAAGTAAAACCAAAATATTTTATGTCAGATTGTGCACAAGAAATCGAAAATGCGATTATCAACTCTTTTCCAGAAGTTATCCTTCATTGGTGTGCAGTTCATGTAATGAGGGCGTTCAGAAAAAATTTGAAAGATTATGCATTTGAGAGTTCAGACAAATTGATATTAGATACAAAAATGAACTATCTTGCATACGGCAGAAATGGCAAGAAAGAATGGATTGAACCAACGTTCAAAAAAATTCTGGAAATAGCCGAAAAATTCCCAGAATTTTCAAAATACATACAAAATCAATGGATATCAAACCAAGAAAGATGGACAGCCGCTGAAAGAGATGAAAATTTAGCTCTCACAAATAACATTTCAGAATCGATTAACAAAAAAATTAAATATTACTACTTTGGCGGAACAATTTTCATGATATTTGATCGATTTGTGATGAAATTAATCGATTTTATCGTTCCTTCATTTTATTACAGAATTTCTCAAGAGATAAGGCTCAGAGACAAAATTCCAAATCCGTTGCCATCTGAAAAAAAGCCAAAAAAGTCTACAATCAGACTGGATACAGAAAAATGTATAATGCTCACTGATAAAATTAAATCGTTAATAGTTAACTCATCAGCAAACTTAAATACGCTTCAATTGGGTTTAGATGACCTACTTGATAAAGTTGTCAAGGCAGCAAAGGTTCAAAAACGAATGACCCAGTATTTTTCGAAATTAAGTATCCCAATGGAAATCAAGCTTAGTATTCTCACGCAAATTACAGAATTTGGATGCAATACCCCTCAATTCATTGTTGAGAATGCCAAGTCTTTTCAAGATAAAATTATTACAGATTTCCACCTTCAAATTTATACAACATTATAAAAATTTATGAATAAAAACTTGATATAAAATAACATTTTTATTTTTACTAAGAAAAAAAAGGTTTTTGATAATAAATTTATTTTATTTCGAAAAAGTAGCAATAATCGTAAAAGGGTATTGATAGGCTTGCTAAAGTAACTAATTTTAGCTGTCAAATACTTTTGTATTTTGAAGTAAATTAGTATAAATTTGTTTTTACTTTTATTTCGAAAAAGTAGCAATAATCAAAAAAAAAGGTAGTGGGGCTTCAAGGCGCGTTGCGCCCTCTAGCCCCGAAGATGTCTAGTATAAATGAAGTTTTTATTCGGAGGGCTTCCAGGCGCGTTGCGCCCTCTAGCCCCGAAGATGTTTAGTATAAATGAAGTTTTTATTCGGAAAATTGTTAGTCTTCTGGGTCGAAAACATTATATAATGTGTCACTTTTCACAAATTATATATGTTTTCATGTTTGTCACTTTTCTGTCACTTTTCGGGTAAAAACATTTTTATTATTATATATAAATGAATTTTACAAAACCGCCGTTACCATTCTTTGGAAATAAGAGTAGATGTAAAGATATTATATTGAGGTGAGTGGGGCTTTGGCTTTGGTTAGCGGTTGAGAATTGTTAATGTTTGAATTGTGGTTAACAGCGTTGGCTTCCATTAGATAAAAATGAACTGACCAAAAAAGACAGATATTTAAATATTTGAGATGAACCGTTTTCGTCAACGGTAACACCCTCTATTTTTTTTATTTTATTTAATAGTTACCGTTGGAAAAACGGTTTATCTCAAATATTGAATGAACTATAAACGTTTTTTGTTTTCTATATATACTTTTTTGTCCAACGGTAAAACTTTTTACACAACGGTTTTTGAGAGTCGTCGCCGTTGACTTTTTTGTAGAGCACTCAAAATAGTATAACTTTGTCCGGACAAGTAAGGGTCTATCGTCGCTACAGGAAAAGTTACGGGCGTTCCAAGGAAGTATACTTTGAGAAGCCTTTTCCCCCTTATAGAATGAGATAGGACGGTTATTTTACAAAACTGACAACACTTTGACCGAGTAGTTTTTTGTGCTGAACAAAAAGTGTCATATAAACATCTGTCAAAAACCGCTTTTTAACTTCACTTAAAATGCCACGTAAGCTACGTAAGAATATACGTAAGAGGAAGGGAGCATTGAAACATCCAATAGTAAAACTGACACCACAACAACAGTTGCAACAACAAATGATGAATGACCCCACTATGTTGCAACAAATGTCAAGCAACCCTATGCTTTTAAACCGAGTTATTGGTGCACAGAGTGGAGGTTTAAGAGCGGCACTTTTAGCGAAAATGGCAGGCTATGGTGGAGCTGCAGACGGAACAGCTTATAACCCTCAAAGTCAAATGAATTTGAGTTCACTCAAAAATCAAATAACAGATGTCAAAAAGTCAAACATAGACATACAGAAACAAATAAGTGAAAACGAAAAGAAACTAGAATATGACAGACAGACAAAGAAACTAAATGAGTTAAACGTAGAGAAAAAGAAGAAAGAAGAACAACTGAAAGAACTAAGTACAGAGGAATATGCGAAAAAAGTGTCAGAAAAAGCAGCAGAAGTAGCAAAAATGGAACAAGATGTTATAAATTTGAAAAAACATACTACTCAATATAAAGTACTGAAAGATGAAGAGATAAAACAAAAAGCCATGAAGACATATATGGATAGCGATGAGTATAAAAAAGAAGTTGAAGCAAATGTAAAGGCAGAAAAACTTTTACAGTTGCAAAACCAAACCGTACAGTATGAAAACTTAGCACAAGAAAGTAAAAATAACGACGCAGCCATGCAAAAGGCAATGAAAAGTGCAGAATATATAAAAGCTAATAATGACTGGTTAGATGCCCAAGCCAACGCTAAAGCAGCCCAACTTATAGGGTCAATAAGGACAAAAATACAAGCGGATGAAGACAGTTCAAATGAAGCTTTAATGAATGCTGACTTTAAGAATGCCTTCGAAGCTCTTCATAGTAAGGTGAAACTAGTGAACGACTTCTCATCTGGAAAGAAACTGAAGTCTGAAGGTTTCGACAAAGAGTTAAGAGAAGTAGCACAAAATATGACGAAAATAACAGATGCAGCAACGAGACAGGCAGTTCAAAGTGCCTATGACGCCGTTAGAGCAGCTGTTGTGGAAAGTCAAGAAAAAGAGTTACAACAGACCAAAACAGACCTAGTAAATGCTTTCTTAAAAACGAAAAGTCAGGTAGGACATTATGCTGCAGATGGAACATATGTGCCAGCTGGTGGAACTTATATACCACCAAACCCTCCAAGAGAAGCACCTGCACCAGGACTACCTAAAACATTTACATCGTCACATGGACACAGACACAGGCATGCACCACAACAACAACCAACACAACAACCAACAGTTCAAAATCCAGCACCACAACCAGCACCTGCACCACAACCAAAACCAGCACAACAACCACCTCCACAACCAGCACAGCAACCAACAGTTCAAAACCCTGCACAGCAACCACAAACAGAGCAAGGACATAAAAGAAGTAGAGAAAAAGGAAACCAAGAATTCTTAAAAATGCTTAAGGAAGATTATGGTTACCCAGATACTCTTGACTTTAGTGACAGATATAAAGAAGCTATTAGAAAGTTCAAGGAAGGAAATACTGACCCGAACCTATTTAGCTTTATGGTTCAGCACCAAATGGGATATAATTTCAAACCTGGAAAATACAAGCTCGCTAAGGGATATGATTTAATAGCATATCATCCAAATGACATGGATGAATTTACTCCGAGATATTTGGTGTCAGAGATAAATGATAATTCAACTATCTTCATGAAACGCGTAAAAAATAGAGACGGAACGAAAGAAGAAAGGGTTATGAATGCGGATGGCTTAAATAGGGAACTTGTTAAAAACGGTCTCGGAATATATGAAATGCCACCAGATGAGGTACAAGAAACTCCACAGGAAGAAGTTCAGATACAACCAGACATGGAAGAAATAGTTCAGCAACAACAGCTAGAAGAGCCTGAAGGAAACGAACAAGTCCCTCCTTTGGAAACTAACTTCACAGAACTAGATGAAGATTTGGAACAGCCGAAAAATCTTGACCCTCAACAAGTGTATGCGGGGAATATGGAATCTTTCCAAGAGTCTCAGAAAAATTCGGCTGACATAGTAGAAGGATATCGAAAAATGTTCACCGACATACAAAAGACTCCAACATCAGATGAAAATATTCAGCATAGAATGGAAGTACTGAAAGAAAATGTACGCAAATACAATAATCCTTTTTACTTACGACCATATAACGTTCAATCTTTGGCTGAACTCGGTGAAAATAAAAGGTTAAATTTCAACAAAACATATAGAAATGAAACATTGTTTAAAGTTCATTCAGAACCTAACCAATATGGAAACAAACCTACTTTTGTTTCTGCAGACTATGGAACTACAATGAGATGGGGTCATAAAGCTAATCCGGATAGGTGGTTCATAAACTTACAACCTCAATTCCAAGAAGTTGTAGACGCAATGGAATTGAATGGTGAACCAGATATAGCTGGTATTTTCAGCGCGGCTTTAATGCCATTGAAAGATATGAAAGATGCAGATATTTTGGACCAGTATGAAATGAACATGGCTGAGGGAAATATAACACCTGACGTTCTAGAACATTTATCTCAAAGAACTACACAGAACCATAGAGATGGTATATTTGGTGAAGAGTTTAGAAAGAAAGTTAGGGAGAGAGAAGGAAGAGAACCTATTGTACATGACCTTGCAAACGAAAGTTTGCAAAATGTCATAAAAACTTACTTTGCAGACAATGAACTGAGAAGGGATGAATATTTAAGAAAACTCAAATGGACAGTACCAAATGAAATGTTAGTATTGAAAAACATGCTCCATGACAAAATAAAACCAACTACAGAAATAAATGACGCAAGACTGAAACGTTGGGTAAAAGCTTTCCCATTCACAAAAGATATTATTGGTTACATGGAAAGAAAACCAGAATGGCTACAAAAACATATATTTGGAAACGAGCTTATTCCATGGACAAGCTATATTTGAAGAGCTTGAACCGGAAACTCAGGAAAGAGTCATGCAAACAATAAGCGAAGACTCAAATACAAACTATGACAAAATCTTTCTAGGATATAGGTTACCTGAGATGGGCGACCAGAGCCCAAAGGCAAAAAGGACATGGGAAATTTACAACATACTAGGTGAACATGAGGCAAAGATGCTACAACTTGTAGCAGAGGGCAAGTTACCAAAAGCGACACCAAAGAAGAAGAGAAGAGTAGAACAAAGTGAAAGTAGTGAAGAAGTAACTTCATCTAGTGAAAGTAGTGGCAATGAAGGAAAAAGAAGAGTTAAAGATTCAGTTAAAAACTCAGTCAGGAAGAAAGTAAAGTTTGGTCCGAGTGGGTTCTATTATGACATATAAATCCAACTATTCTATATTTTTACCCATATGAAATGTACGCCGCTCAGAATATAACGCCAACAGTTTTGGATGCCATGAACGGAAATGTTTCCGAATGGTATAACGAATGCGACAATGCCATTAGAAGGTCAGAAATAGTTCCTGGAACTTACGAATATACAACTGCTGTTTCTTATGGAAACGTAGGTGAGTTTGGAGAAGGTTCTTCAACAACAGTAGATATTGCTTGCGACAGGTTTCACATTATTTCTATTGACAACTCATTCTTATACGTGGAACTAGACATTGAAATAAAACCTTCTGCTGACTTGAGAGGTAAGAAAGGTTGCAATGGTATTTTCTATGTCGGATACCAATATGCTCCAGAAGTTTTTATGGGATATAAGATATATTCTAACTCTGACTTAGTTCAAACAGTAACATGGGCAAACTATGAATGGTTCGCTTTAAGAAAACTCAGTACAACCACAAGCTAGAGAACAAACAGACCAGTATGCAAATATTGAGAAAATAAGAAGACTTGACCCTAACGTTCCAGGAGTTTATGTTAACCTTTCTGGACAAACTGCAGCAGCAGTAACCAAAGTAAAACTGAAACTTAGAGTTCCTTTGTCATCTTTCCTCATCTTTAGGTTTTTAAGATACTTGCCAAACTGGGCAGGAAAAATTTCTATCGAACTTACTCCAAGCAAAAATAACTTAGTCATTGCACCAACACAAGACCCATTCACTATTACAGACGTAAAGGGAACAAATCAAACGTCATTCGCCGAATTTTGCAAAGACAAAGTTGACTTAGACTTTGGTTTCTCAAACTTCAACAATGAAGTAAACTATTATTTCAATGCTGCTGGAACTGCTTGGACCCAGTTAAGTTTACATGCGAACAGTTTGAATGCAAGAGAATAGAAAGCAGACTTGCAGTCTATATGTTGGACCCAGATATTTCAAATGCTTTAGCTGCCAATATATTGCAGTTCCACTTATGTTCCCTATACACCAAATATCTGTCAAAGACTTTGCAGGTGAAGTTGGAAACCAAAATCCAGGAGCCGCAGGTGCAAGAACAGATATTGCTTTAACAACTGCAATGAAACATGCAGATACTATGTTTGTACTGTTCAGACGAACTATAAATGACTATTCTTGTTTCTACAACCCTGGTATTAAATATCATATAAACATAGATGGCAAATATTATCCAAGAGAAGAATATTCTACAGTTGAGGATATGAGGTCATACAACTTGACATTAGATGCTATGAACTTTAACAAAAACTTCACAACAACTATTAACCCTGAAATGCAAAGTTCTATTATGCCATATGTGAAAGTATGGACTCATACAGGAGGTCAAAAAACTCAATATACAAATGGAGACCGTTCAAACTTTTGGCTTGGCATTCCATTTGCTGACTCAGAAGACTTTATGGGTGGTATTTCAACTGTTGGTACAGTTCAAATACAATATACTGGTGACAGAGACGGTCCAGATGAATTGAGAGCAAAGAAGTTTACAAAACCAATAGCACTTTTCACGGAAGATGCTCTTTTGAAGATTCGTTCGATGAAACCTGCTGGGGCTCCTCAGATTGGCATAACGACAGCTTCCATTGAGCAGATTTTGGCAGCAGGTCAGTAAGTTGTTCTTGAACTGACTTCTCTCCGTCAAATATTGACAGTACACCAGTTTTGACATAATATTGTAAGATAAACTTACCTTTAGAAATATCTGTAAGTTTTGAAGTTATATTTTTGTCTGCTTCAAGAACTTTCACCATTTCAGTTATACCAACTTTCTTTGCTTTATGAAAATATTTAGGTTCAGCAAAGACTGCTATTCTATAACATTTTCCATTGTTTGTGTAAAGAACTATTCTGTCAATGTATTTGTATTGTTTGTGAGTATAAACTTTGTTCTGCTTCAATTCAATAAGATATCCGAATACGTCCATCTTTTTATTCTAAGTAAAATGTCATTTCCGAAAAATAGAAGCGTAAGTGTTTCAAAAGGTTTAATGGCGGTGGCAGATGTGAAGTTAAATTCACCAACTCAAACAAACAGTCAAAGTGTTATTGTCAATGTCAAAGACAGAGATGTTGAAGTGGGGAAACCATACGAAGACGAAGATGGTATAACAATTGTTCCTGTAAAAGAACCAACATATCCTGAAGTTAACAGAGACTTAAGTTCTGTTGCAGATATTCGAAACGACTACCAACAACTGAAAGACAAACTTCAAACTCAGGAGAAGATTTGTCAAGCTTTAGGTATAATGTTAAACTTGGTCGAACACAACCCTGTAAAAGTGAACTCATATGTCATTGCACCTCATGAAGTTTTGAAAGAACTATTGAAACTTTTGACAGAGGCAGACGATATAAACATCAAAGAAATAGAACCCGACATTAGTTGCTGTGGTGTTTCATATAATGTCATTGACAAGATATACGTTATGAAAGGAGGTGAAACGTTGAACTTAAAATATAGTTTCCCAGACGTTATAAAAATATTTCACGACCACAACATTTCATTAAAATTTATTTGCTAAGTAAATGGCAGAAAACATAATGGTTTATACTATTACGACTAAAAACCCTGAGTCATATAATTCTATAACAACAAACTTACAAAGTCCTCAAGGACGATATTGTAAACTAACCTTAAACACAATGACGACTAAAGCCTGTTTTGCTCTTTTGACACCAGAAGACTTTATTGTTGTGAATGGTAAAAAATACTCCTTTGAAGATACTTACTCAGATATACCACCAACAGGTTTTGTTGACTTATTTAATACTTTAAGTACGGTGTAACATGTGCTGCAACTAGAGCAGGTTTCATTATGTTTGGATGTCCGACTGAGTTTACTATAAACGATATGAGCTATAATACAAAACTTATTTCTGGTTTTTACTACCAACAGTTTCCTATAACAGGAAAAGGTGTCATACAAGGAATGTCTATTCCATTGACATTAAGCACACCAATCTTATATATTGTTTCAAACTTAGGTTCAAAGTGTTATTCGAATGTCGACAGAAACTATTATGACCAAAAGATACTTATGCGTATAAACAATACTTTCTCTGATGGTTTGCCTATTGTTCATTCGAATGCAAAATTTTCAACCTTAGTGAACTCAAACACTTTGGCAAGTATAACGTTGACATTAGTTGACGCAAACTTTGTTCCTGTAAAACTTTTATGTCCTATGTATTTGTCAATGACGGCAGAAAGTTTCGAATTGGAAGATGCAACTGGTGAAAGTATTGTATTACAAGAACAACTTCAACAACAAATAGCTCAAGAACAACAAATGCAAACAAATGGAACAACAAAGTCAAGAATAAAAAAATAATATTTTTTTATTCTTATAAAAATGTACAGAATAGATGTTTCAGATTTTTATGACTTCCAAGCATTCAGAAATATGTGTCCATTTCGAAACTATAACAAAGCAGTCGAGAATTTGAAACGTTTAGTCATTTATGTCGACTCTGCCTCAGAATGTTATGTCATGAAAGAATGGGATGTTGTCTTTAACAAACCAAGAGCAACAATAGTGTCTGAACAAGAATGTAGACAGAAACTTAAGAAAATAAAAGTTGTACAAGTTGGCATGAAGATGTTAGATGCTTGGGATACCTTATTGTCAAAGTTAGAAGATTTTTCAGTTCGAGGTATAAAGTTCTATACACCTTCTCCAAACTTCTATTCTATCTTCACTGGATATAAATACGAACAAGTAGAATGGAAAGAAAATATTATAGAAGCTTGGTTAGACCATGTCAAAGAAATTATATGCAATGGAAACGAAAGAGTCTATGAGTATATCTTATGTTGGTTTGCAAATATCTTACAACATCCAAGTGCTAAAAATGAAACTGCTCTCATTATAATTGGAAAACAAGGAACTGGTAAGAATACTTTCTTTACAGATATTTTGTGCAAACTGTTAGAAGGTTATTCGAATCCGAATATGACAAACTTAGAAAACATCTGTGGCAAGTTTAACTCCTCAATAGAGAATATGAAACTTATAGTTTGCAATGAACTTCAAAGTATAGATACAACAAAAGTTTTGAACTCAGATGCTTTGAAGAGTCTTATAACAGACAAAGTTGGAGTTGTTGAAAGAAAGTATAAAGACCAAAGAGTTTGTGAAAATGTTGCAAACTTCATTATGGTTTCAAACAATGCTGTTCCGATGAAGTTAGAAAGTTCTGACAGAAGATATGTAGTTGTCAGAACATCAGATTCTCATATGCAAGATACAGAATATTTTGACGCTTTGTCAGAAACTTTGACATCTGACTTTTACAACCACTTGTTCTCATATTTCATGCATTAGATATTTCTAAGTTCAATCCAAGACAAATTCCACATACCGAAGAGAGACAAACATTGTTAGAAGCAAACAAGAGTGTATATGAACTGTTCATAGAAGAAAGCGACTTTGAGTGTTTAGATGAAAAGTCTTATATGATGTATAAACAATATTGTCAAGAGTATGGTTATATGCCAGCGTCTAAACGAACATTCTTGGCAAATGTCAAAAGTCTTTTAGATATGTTCAGAATGGTGTATATACAAAGAAAATTTTTTCTGAGTAAATTTTAAAAAAAATATTTTTTTATCGATAGAAAAGATGACGAAATATATTTCATAAACAAGTACATGTCAGGACTTAAAGAAGAACTAGACCCATTCACATATTTGAATGTTTACTTCTACCATTTTGAAAAGTCTTCATTCAGCAAAGTTTTGGAACATCGAACCAGTTAAGTTTGCTATTGTGACTAAAAAATGGTGCGAATTTGAAGACTTAGACATAGAAGGTTTGTTAACAGTCAAAGAAAGTTTTGACAGAAGGTTCTCAAAACCTTAAAGAAGGCAAAGCATACAAACTTGTTATACCTTATGAACCAAAGAAGACAGACGACTATGAATATTATGAGTCTAAGTTGTTAGAAGTTCAAGGTAAATTGGGTAAAAAGCTATTGAGTCTAAGCCAGTGTTTACTCCTAAAGAGGAAGAGAACATTGACATTGACCCAGAAATGTTCTAAAAATAAAATTTTATTTTTACATGTCAAATTTCTTTTTCTCTGGAACTGGTTCAGGTTTCTTTCTTCTCTTCTACTTTTTTCTCTTTCTTTTCTTCTTCTTCTTTCTCTGGTGGAGATATGTCAAATTTCTCAGAACCATATCTATGTAAAGTTCTTTGTCCTTTAATAGCTCATCTATTCTGTTTTTATTTCATCTTCAAGAACACCGCATGTGTCTTCTTTGCATTCTAAGAACTTTTGTTGGACTTCATCTTTCCAATCGGCGTCATCTCTGTCAACAAGTCTGTCATTGACAAATTTTAAGACTGCTCTTTGTAATGTTTTATGGTTCTTGTCATATTCCCAGAAACAGAACTTTAGAACAAATTCACCTTTCTTGTTTACGTATGTAAGATTTTTTGGTCGACAGATGTTTTTGCTGTCAAAAGTTGTCTCGAATATAGATAGCGAAATCGCTAGACATTTTCTAAAAGATAAAAATTTTAATTTTTCTAAAAATATGTTAGAAAAAAAGTTTGCTGACATTGACAAGAAATTTGAGAATGTTTTAAACAAGAACAAGAGGAAGTTAGAAAATGCTCAGATAAAGCCTATACATGAAAAGTTCTTTTTGCTCAGAATGGTATAACAGGTCTAATTGCACCACCTGGGTCGGGTAAGACTTTCACTTATCTTAAAATGGCTGCACAACAACAAGAACTAGATGAGAAGAACCCATTTATGGAGTTAGTTGTTATTGTTCGACTTCTGGTCAATTTGACCAAACCGTCAATTCGTTCAAAGATATTATAAAGAAGTCTAAGTTAGTATGTATAAAGGATACTGAGTTGTTAGATTGGATAAAGAAGTACCAAAGAAGAGTTTTGAAGTACAATGCTATAAATGAGTATATAAATTCTAAGTTTAAAGAACCTAATGAGGAAATGCAGAGAATATTAGAGAAGAAACACTTCAGAAACAAACAGAAAGAGATAGAATACATTTCGAAGAAATTGCAATCTTACGATTGGAAAGACTTACCCTATAGATGTCTTCTTATCTTAGATGATTTGCCTCTCATCCTTTGTTAAAGAACAGAGAACAAGATATATGTCGAATTCTTTAAGAAACTCAGACACTTTAACATTTTCAGTCGTAATATGTGTACAGACAGCCAAGAGTTTAAGTAAGGATGTTAAAAGAATACTTACTGAATAATACTTTTCCCGGATTGTCCGAAGACGATTTCATGGAACTTATGAAAGAGTCCATGGCAGGTAAGTTTGACAGACATGAACTCTGGGAGAAGTATAAAGTCATACAAGACCCTCATACTTCTTTCAGAATTCATATCTACGCAAACAAAGTTCAAATTGTAAATGGTCAAGCTTGAAAAATAAAGAGTTCATCTACCCTACTTGTTTGAAGTTGTCAAAATACTCTGTTATTTTTTCCTTCAGTAATGTTAAGTCTTCTTTGAATGTAAGTATTGTACAACCTTTAATATCATAGTGTGTTTGAGGAAGTATGTCTTGAACTATTTGTTTCACATCTTCATTTGGGGTCATTGAAATCGGTAAGTTTTCGCGATAGAACCAATTTCTGTCAGATTTGTAAATCTTAGCAAGGTCGTAAAAGCTTTTGTTGTTTCTTCTGACTAAATGCAACATAACCATGTCACTGTCTTCCATATCTTCAGTATAAATCATATACTTATAGTTCTTTTCCTTTTGGTACTGAACGTGGTATTCTTTTCTGAATGCTTTTGTCTTTTGCTTCAATGACTTCATCTTTTGCTTGAAGTTTCTTTTCCATCTCTTCACGTTCTGCTTTATATAGTTCATCTAACATCATGAAAATATAACAAGCATAACGAGGTGAAGCCCACATTGCTACAGCATTTACTAAAAGTCTATGAATATAATAACCTTTCAAACCAGGTGCCAAATTCTTGCGATTTTCGTACGGAATCTCTTCCCCCAGTTTTCCGAGGGAAGCAATCATATGAGGAAATTCTTCTAAAAGTTCTTTTGTCTGTTGGTTTTCAAACCAATGATATGCTTGCTTTGTAGAACGAAGAGCATTCATTATACTTTGCATTTGGTACATATCGTCTTTGACCGAACGAATGAGACGTAACTGTTTGTTATACTGTATGTACTCGTATTCTTCATTTATAGCTTCATGGACTATAACTGTTGTTGTGTTCTCTGATGTTGAAATTACTGTTTCTTACATACAAAATAAAAATTTTTCTTAGAAAAAAATTAGCGTTATTTTTCTAACTAATGAAATTCATTATTTTTGTGCTGAATTCAATAAAAATATATTTTAGGGTAGATGGTTAGATCTAACCCGATTTCTACCCTCAGCTGCGAAGCGGCGAGACCCAAAGGTCTTGAATTTTCATGAATTTTATATATTAATGTTTTCGTTAAGCCACTTTGTGCCGTCAGTCAGTTAATGAAATTTACACCAAAAATATATTTTAGGGTAGATGGTTAGATCTAACCCGATTTCTACCCTCATGAATTTTCATGAATTTTCATGAATTTTATATATTAATGTTTTCGTTAAGCCACTTTGTGCCGTCAGTCAGTCAGTTTAGGAAAGATTTTAGAAAGTTGTTGGAAAATAAGTCCTGGGAAGAGTATTATAAGGCGTTTTGTGAAGAATATAGCAACAGTCCGAATTCCGGCGGTTGCTTTTTATACAAAATTCATGAGGGTAGATATCGGGTTAGATCTAACCATCTACCCTAAACATTATTTTTGCTGAATTCAATAAAAATAAATGGTTCATTTACTCACAATATTTTTGTACAAAACGATCCCAAACTTTTAACTTCTTTTCTGCAGCTTCTAATGCTATCTTAGCGAGTTCATATTCTCTAAATTCTCTCTTTAAATCTTCTTGTTCCCATTGGTCTAGTTCGTATGGAGAATCTCTATAACCATAAAATATCTCACGTTCATGTTCTAATTGTTTTTCATGCATTTTTCTAACTTCTTCTTCAAACAAATGTTTTGCATTCTCTACTGTATCTTCGAGTTCTTCTTCATCTAACTTCTCATGAACTTTCTTGTCTATGGAGTCCATAATATCTTTGACATAAAATGCATACTTTACAGAGCACCATTCAGCAACAAAATGAACGAGGTCAGGATGTATGTAAATACCTTTGAATTCATTTATAACACCCTTAGTAAGCTCATAAAATGCTTGTTTTGAGGTCGAGCCACTTTTGGCTCCACCGTATTCTTTCAACCAAAACTCAAGAATTTCCTGCATTTTAACACTATTGAGAAATCTGTTTAAATGGTTTAACCTTCCCGTTTCTCTTGCCATCTTTGTTGCATTAATGTAACTATCCTTGTCTCTACGTAAGACTTCAATACCGTTATAAGTGCCTTTTGTGAATGTTTCGCCATTAGATTTGTTCGTGAACGTTTTTGCTTCGACTGACATTACTGTTCTTACATACAAAATAAAAAAATAAATAAAAATAAAACTAACTTTATTTTTTCTGTCTTAAGGAAATTCATGAGGGTAGAAATGAGGGTAGATATCGGGTTAGATCTAACCATCTACCCTAAACATTATTTTTTGGTCCGGGAACAACTTTCTCTCAATTGGAGCTGTAGCATACTCTTTGCGTAAGCGGTTCAGACCTTCTTCGAAGTCTTGGTCTCTCTTCGATTGAGATTGGAATTGGAATTGCTGGGGTGGAGCTTGCTGGAACAACCAAGGGTTGGGGAAGTAAGGCATAGGCTGAGGAGGGTAGTTCGGGAAGCCTTGTGGTGGGTAGTAACCTTGAGGTGGAAATTGGTAGTAATTCGGAGGTACTTGCTGGAACTGAGGTTGCTGAGGAGACTGTTGTGGTTCTGCAGCTTTCGGTTCTTCTGGCTTTGGAAGGCATTCAGGAAGAGGAACGTCAGTCATCCGTTTGTGTCCTGTCGGAAGGAAAAACTTTTTCTGTCGGAAGGAAAAACATTTTCTGAAGTTCGACCACAAAGTTCTCAATTTTCGAAAATTTGAATGGTTTACGGACGGACAACTGGAAGAGTTCTTCCTGTTGTCGGGAAAAAATTTTCCTGTCGGATGGAAGAACTTGGAATGCAAGAAAGACTTGACGAGGCAATTTACCTCATTGAACTTAACGACTGCGTAAAAGACTTCCTCAGGCAGAATGTAAAAGGCAAGCTTGTTAACGGTTGGATAACGGGAAGGGCTGCCTTGAATCTCGAGATTTCGACTGGAATTCCAATTGAGGTACCAGAAGGCACTCCTTTCGACGGCATAAATGACGCCAAAAGAGAAGCTCTTGTTAAGTTCCTAAACAAACGTCCTTGGATACTACTTCCAAACAAGGAGAACCCCCTACCCCATATGAAATTGGCAATTCAGTCTCTCCTTCACTTCTCTGGTCAACCATTCTTTATAACTACAGAAGGCGACATTCAGCCAGTTCAGTAAACATCTCATTTTAACTCACTTTTTTTATGTTTTTTGTGAAAGTGTCAAAAATAAATTGTTTTCATGAGTTTTCTACGATGTTAGAAAAAATGTTATTTTCTAATATCTTCACATTCAATACTTTTTCAGCACTTTTCCGTAGTTATATATGAAAGACAATTCGAGATAAAAGTCATAGTACAATGGAATAATATGTTGCACACCATTTGTGTGAACCAAACTTGAAAGTCAGAGAAACTGTTACTAGGTGGTTCGTAGAATTTAGAAGCAAAGTCATAAAAGTCCTTACCAATACATAGAAAACTATTGTTGCTTGAACTGAAACTTGCATGACACATAACATTTTGAGGGTCAAACACGTTTCTATAAACTGTCAAATCTGCTGGTGGAAGTATAAAATTAAATGGACCATCTGGTGGTAATGTTCGTCTGGTTTAGTAACCGAAGAAATTGTGCCCAAGAACGTTTTTACTTCCAAAATAAAACTCTGTATCTCTTGGAGGGTTAATTTCAATCTTTTGAAATGAAACGGTGGAGTTCATCTTGTCATATTCTAGTTTCAGATAGTATGTTCCATTAGTAAAGAGTCGTATTTTTCTTGAAATTCCCAATAATATTTGTTCATTTGAGTTTGAAAGTCATCTAGAGTTTTCTCAAGACTTTCGTCTGAACGAACTGTAAAGATTCTCATTTCGTCAAATTTGTCTATTAGACCATCAGGACCTTTATACTGCCCATGAAAATATACTGCGAACATAAATGCTTAGTTCTATTGAAAACAAAACTCTTCTAAATCCTATTGCCTTTGCATCTGAAGGACTTTGAAGCCAACAAATTGGATAGTCAAACCTGTATGCTCGGGATGAAATTTCTTCATCTGAAATAGTCCTACCAGCATTTGTAAAGATATATCTAACGGTTTTGTATCTGCTACTTTTTGTTCTTTGTTTTTTCAACCTGAAGCATTTAATATATGTAAAAATATATTGTTTTAAAATGGTATGCCATAAGCTTCTTGAATTTGTTAAGAAGTATTTGAACGTATTTTCCATCTGTATCTCTAGTGTTTACATAAGCATAGCCCGCCTTAGTAAAATATACTTGTAATTTCCTATAGTTTACGCCGGTATAAAAGTAGAAAGAGTCTTGTTCTTCGCTATAGTAGTAAAACTTAAACGTATGCTTGCCATAGTCTGTAATTTCAATTGTTTCATCTTCTAGTTCGTCGACAAATTCGAATACAATATCTCCAAATTTGCCTTTGTTCTTATTGTTTTCAGAACGAGTGACCCAACGTAAGTTTTCAAGTCTATTGTCGTTTCTTATATGGTTTATATGGTCTACAAAAAGTAAATTGTTAGGATTCAGTATAAAATGAGTTGCAATGACAACATGTTTAAGATAGTGTTTTCCACCCATCTTCATAATAGCATATCCGTCATTTCGCTCCCATTCGCTTAAAACTCTTTTTGTCTTTTTGTTTCTGACTTCAAATGACTCACAACAGTGAATTTCATATTTCTCATCTAACAAACAAGTTTCCCAACGGTCTTCTCCAACAAACTCAGCGTACATTTCAAATAAAATAAAAAAATGTCACTTTTTTGAAAAACGTTTTTACTTCATGCAATGTTTTATTTCTGTGCCGTCTTCAAGTATGCCCCAATATTTCCTTTTCGATATTACATGAACTTCGGAAAATACCTTATCTAGCTTAAAACAGCCTATCTTTTCACCGACTAAACCCATTTCAATGAGTTTGTTGTATCCTTCTTCGTTCGTCATGAGTGCGTCAATGTTCTCATAGTAAACCTTCACTTTGGATTTGACTTCGGAGAAGAATTTGTTGTAGTTGTCAAGGACTGCCTTTGCGAACTGAGGGTAAGACCAATGTTCGACAATAGGTTTTAATGTGGTTACTAAGCCACTTTGACCTTGAGTGAATTCGTACTTCAAAACAAAAGGAGAAAACCTTTCAACAAAGTTGTCGACCTTCTCATAATGTTTACTCTTCATCTCTTGAGGTTTCTTAATGGAATATCCCCATGTCGAATTCATAAGCAATTTGAGTGTCATTGCAAGTTTGGGGTTTGAAGCTTTCCTAATATCAGTTAGTATACATATCATGGGTACTGAGGCACTGCGCGCCTCCTTACCCATTATATGTGAATTTGACACTTTACAAAACCGTTAACGTATATTTTACAACACAAACGACAACACTAACTTAACCTTAAATATTTACAAAGCCGCCAACCACTTCACCTCACTAATGTAAAAAATAAACGTTCTCACTTACAAAAGTATTGCAACTCCTCCCATTGCTGTGCTTCATATAACAGCTCATAATCTTCTGACTCACTTTCTTCTTCATATAGGTCAAAATCACTGTCAAAATAAATGTTAGTAAGTTTTGACAAAGCTAATGAAACACGCTTACCGTTTGTATCATATGCTTGTATAAACTTTCCATTATGCTTGTAGTCATAAACGCTCAAACTAACTTTACCCTTTCTCCCTCGTATCTGATAGAATGTATTTTCACGAGGAACGAAGAACAAATTCTTGAACTCATGACCGTTGTAGTTTGTTATCTCAATAGTTTTCGTCAT